TTTCGTGTGGGGTTTCTGCCTCTCTGGAGCTGATGTTGAAACAAAGGCACGTCTGCAAAATACACACATTTCGCTCTCCCTCTACTCTATTGTGTGGGTATGTGCACGAATATATAGACTCGAGGGTTTGCTTGAACGGAGGTATAATACTGGTGCCTCGACCTTTTTATCTCCCGCGAGTCTGGAAAAATTACCATCATTCGTATGTGCAGTATAACAATCGCATATATTATATACCCTATACACCTTTGTTACACATATTTCGGAGACCTTATACCGAAAGTGCGGAGTATGCTTTGAAAAGTAAATGTACGGATGGAGGCGATGGCTTTTATGTACGTGCACATTTTTGCTAACGACTGATCGAATGTCTTGTACTTTTTGATATCACATGTCGAAAAAATTATTGCTGTTTCTACTCTGAAAATTTTGTTTAATTTTTCGCAACACAAGTATATTAAGCCATTGTGATTCCGAGATTTTTCACAACACTCGTTCGAACAAGTATATATATGTACCACGTGTATACTTTGCTTTCTCATTGACACATGATTTTATAAAATAATTAAAAAATAAAATAGGCTTATTGGCCCGACAAAAGTCGCCAGCGGTATATACGAACAAATGTGTATGTTCTCGTTAAACATAGTCTTTTGTTCGCACATGAGAATCGTCAGCGACAATGACAACATAGTACACTCGGGATCGCTGAATTGCATTTTGTATAATCTACAAGCGAAATCGACGACGCGCTTTTGTGCTCAACATATTGTATACATCGTACGAAGGACATATTTTTAGAGCCCCCCTTTTGTTTACGTATATACATTTACTCATCGCGTGGATGCTGTCAAGAAAACAAAGTCAGTGTGTACAGACTGTTTGAATTATAAATGGAAACATTCATTACAAGATAACGCGATTATCGAATCGTTTGTGTTTACGTTGTACAAGAGAATTTTTTTTTCCCTCCTCTAGCGAAGCACAAATGAGTTTTCGAGTAGATGTTTTCGGATACGCAAACGTAGAAGAAGTATACACACTATAGCTCCGAGATTAGCCTAATCAGTTGTTGTTTGCTCGCGCAGTTGTATGCGCGCATAAGCTACTTTTTTTTCCCTCCTTCCTCGTGCATAATAACTACTATGAATAAACGCGCGATTTGATAAACAGCTACTATATTTAGCTGCTCGACGATTCCCGCGCACAACTGGTTGTTTTTTTTTTTTTTTCTTTTTCTTTTCATGCACTTTGCGGATATCTTTGATAATGAATAAACCATTTTCCCCTCGACCCCCTCCCCACCCCCTTTTCCCTCTCGATTGTGCAAACTATCCGCTTCGAGTGTCATTGAAAGTAGTATTTTCCTTCAAAACAAGATGGCCTGTTATCTCTTTAACGTATATTACAGACATTGTTTCGTTTTGTTGCTAATAGTAATAATGTGTAAATATACACATAATCCAATCAAACTTTTCATAAAACGTGATTGCAACACGATACTGTACAAACCTCCTTTGCAAATATACCTATATGCATATGATATCTGAATAAACTAACGAGTTGTCAAAAAATACCTCGATATTGTAAGATTTGAGGCAGGTTTATCGAGTTATTGGATCGATACCCGAATGTTGGAAATCCTCCTAAATTGACGCAACGTGGTGATGCATTTTCGTATATATATAAATATTGTTACACGTGTATACATGTGTTGTGTACATGTAATACGATTACGAAACCAAAGGAGAGTTCGTTCCTCTCCTCCGTTCGACGCGATGAATATGGCACACACGAGCTCGTTCTGTTGCGCGGCTGAATTTATATAGAGCAGTGGGTTCGTGCAAATGTAGTTCTTATTTAAACTCTTTTCGTTCCCTGTGCAACCAGCAGCGTATATATGTATATATAATGCCTACAGAGTGCGAGATAAGAGCTACGAGCACGAAGGTGGGAATATATATATAACGGGGTAATTGTGGAATAAAGGGGCAATAGAGCAATTTTTCATTGTACGTACAACGTGAGTTTAGCGCGGTGTGTTGGTGTGTCTGTATGCGTACAATTATGCGTTTGCTTGATTTTGACAGGAGAAATCAGGATGGCATCTAAAAAAATTTTCAACTGGGCAGGGGGAAAAAATGAAACTTTTGTCTCGAACGAGCTATTTTTTATGCCAGGAGTAAAAAAAAAAAAAAAAAAGATAAAAGCTCTGTAGTAAAGGGTCCAGGATACAAGTTTACGGTTTCCTTTCTATCGTGAACGGCGATCGCGTTTTCTTCCCAACAAATTTGAGATACGTGTTTTTTTTTTTTCCCCCCAGGAGGGTTTCGATATATTGAAGACTCAACTGTACTCGTTTACGTAGATTGCAGCTTGTGTTCCGAACAAACGTTTTCAGAAACTAAAAGTAAACCTCGAGATTGGGCTCATCGAGGTATAAAGAATTACAACTAGTGTCGGTGCGAGCCGTAATTTTGTCCCAACTAAAAATCAATAAAGATAATATAAATTGTACAATGTATAGGTACTCCGTGTGATTGCGAGATAAACAAGGTCATTGACTTCGAAGGGACTGTAAATATCTTGGGTATAATACATGTAGTCGCGATCAGATTAAAGTTAAAGCTTCCATATAAGGCTTGCACGCAGTTAAGCGAGAATCCATACTAACTTTCATTGTGGAAGACTCCCGAGATGATATGACTTTTTTTTTTCATCACATCTTTGATGGATTGGTGGGAAATTATACGCGATGATCACGTGTATTATTTATAAGCGTAAGAACAGTTTCGTGATGATTGTAGGAGGGAATACTATAGGTCAGTAGTGGATATACTGGGTCAACGAGGTGAAGAAAAAAAAAAAAAAAAAAAAAAGAGTATACTTGTAGGGCGCAGTTCTCTAGCACACCCCAATTGAAACAGAAGAGGTATAATTAAGGCCCTCGAGGGTGTTCGGAAACCCCCATTTCCGTGTGCTCTTGTGCATTTTCATCAAACTTTTCGAAACAACACACGATATCGCATACTTATATACCCCTGCACCCGTATACCTATGTTCTCACTTTTTTTTGTAATCTATACACAGTACCGCGCACGTCCACGCAAAACGAATCAAACACGTGTAAGTTTGTCCCTATACTTGTATCAACTCTCGGGCATAATTTAATAAAATCCATCAATTGATCTTATGTAGATCGTCTCATTTCAACAATCCTCGATTCAATTATTTTGCTATGCAAAAATAAGCACAAGACCGCATATTATCCATGTCGCATGAAAGCGCCCAATAAGTTGATCAACTTTATAGTTTCAAACGAAACACTCGAGCGTAATATTATCAACAGTTATGCATCATTCCGACGAATCACACGACATCTCGTTATGTATTGTGCACCGAACCCTCATGTACACGAGTAAAAAAAAAAACATGGGAAAAACGTCATACTGGAAAAGTGTCTGTCCGACGGACACTATGTACACACATAATATCAGCTGCGGCGGCAGAAGTGTCACGATGGACGAGAATAAGGCAGAAAAAGAAGGAAAACAAGGCCGCGCGCGCGCCGGTGAAAAGCTGTTTACGCTGCAGTGAGGCTTCTCGCGAAAACGTCTGTGTCCGCTTGTTTTTTTTTTTTTTTTTTTTTTTTTCCCCACTTGCAACCTTGGAAAAGGCAGGAGGAAAAAAATAAAGTAAACAAAAGAAAGAGAACAAAGTTCAAGCGCACACGCACATGTATCCGTCCGCGCAATTTGACAAGTGCGTGATACTTTTTCCCCCATAGGTACATGGGTTTCGGAACACTCGGCGAAGCTTCCCAATTAAAAAGTTACGATCGAGCGCGCCTCCCCTTGTTTGTTTTAACGAGAAAACGCGAGAAGATCGGCAAAAGAGAGAGAGAGAGAGAGGGAAGGTTTAAAATTTATCGCACCTGCGCGTTTTTTTACACATGTATTTATATGCATGTATACGCAAGAAAAAGAGTTACTTAATCCGAGCACTTCCTTGGGAGGAAAAAAAGCTCTCGCTGGCCTCTTCCTCCTCTTTTTCGCGTAAAACTGAACGAAATAAAGTAAAATTCCAACGGACACACGTTAGTTCGTTCGCTGCAGATGGGGAACTTTGTTTTACGAGCACGCACACCCTCGTTACACAGCGCGGGGGAAAAAAATAATATATACATATGTAAAGTCATCCCGGAGTACGGGGCGATATATCGAGTTTCGCTTCATTAAGAGCCTATCGAAGAAAATAGGCGCCCACGCACCAACGGTGAGGGTAGTTTTAGTGGCGATATAGTATGGTGCGCCTATACATGTATATACATACAACTGCGAGCATGACGTAGGCAGAACAGTGCATGGTATATGTATACAGGTGTTACTTAAAAATAGGGGCAAAGGTTTTTTTTTTTTTTTTTTTCCTCACCTCCTTTTCTATTGTGCATGTATATAATAATACAGTAGCGTATAGGAGTACGACGACGCGGCAATAAGGTCGAGGAGGAGCTTCTTTAGACACGTTCTACACCACGTGTATAGTTGGATATGCCTTGGGGTCGCGAAAGTGCCTCCGTGCTAAGAATAAATATGTACATATATATATATATATATTATGTACGTGTAGGGAAGGGAAATTGGACAAAGACGGACAGATTTTCCGAGGGGGGAGTACAGTGATGACATATACATGGACATAAACTTTTCTTTTGTTTGCCATTCGATTTTTTCCTCTCCTTTAATGAAATTTCGTCATGGGGCGGAGAGGAGGATCAAGGAGGAGGGCAAAGGAGCGAAAAGGTTTTAACGTGGTCGTGTATGAGTGACAATGATATGCGCAATAAGAGCTTATTTATCGAGCTTTTTTTTTTCTCCTCGACACTAGTTTTCTCTCTTTTGCGAACAAAAGCTTAACGAGTCACTATGAGGGGAAAAAAAAAAAAAAAAAAAAAAAAAAAAAAATCGAGGGTTAAATTTTGAGTTTGTTTTGTTTTGCAGGCTCGGCGTCCATAGAGCAAAAAAACGGCAACAACAAGCCGAGCAAGACCAACAACAACGGGGCCGATGTGAACAGGAACGAGGAACAGAATGGATCGCTCGACAAGAACCAGGCGAAAAAGAAGCCCGTCGTGCCCGGCGGCACGCCTCTGCTGCAACAGACGTGAGTATTATATACCCTACAAATAAAAGACAATTTTTGCACATAGGTGTGTACATCGCGGAGTGGGCCGTTATACTCTTTCTCTCGGCGTATTGCATCTATAAAATGGAATCGAAGAGACATGCACATGGCTAAGAAATCTTGGAAGGGAATATCGAATCTCGTTCACACGAAATACATGATACAACGCATCAAAGAGCATAATATACACAATATTTTTATTTGATAAAAGTGTATATAGGTGTACTAGGTAGGACAAAGCGAACGGAGCTAAGGGAGGGCCGTGGATAATCTAACGAAACCTTATTTTACGACGCGCGATATTTGCACCGTGCAACAAACAAGAGCCATCCCACCTTGTCGTACGTTTTCCCGAGGGTGGAATAAAAAAAAACAAATTGGTCTGATTGTACCAATATATTTATCTGTTTCTATACCTCGGTTTTTCACAATTGAGGATTTAATGGATTGCCCCTTGGAATTAATTTCGGGCTATAGTTGTATGGAGCGCGATGAAATTAATGTAAATAGTTTTCGCGACGCGTAAGTGCGGGGGTATATGATAGACATAAAGACTCGAGGGACTCTTGGATGGTGTTTAATCGTCCCAATGTTGATGAAAAAAAAAAAAAAAAAAAAAAAAAAACTTTCGGAAGCGAGTTTTTCTCCTGTCCAACGGAGGAGCCTCCAAAGAATACTTTCAATCGGGGGTACTTTACGCGTGATGGGTATGTTGGCCCAAGGATATCAGCAGAGTAAGGTTGAAAAAGCGCAGACGCGGGTGGTAAAATTTTACCTCCTAGGGATCGGGAGAGTTTCATCCTGTACTTACTTTTCTCCTTTTGCGCTCGAGTTCTCCCGACCCTTTATTTGGAGTTTACCGTCTACGTATATACATATATATTCATACACCGTACTGTGGAAGGTATGTAGGGGGAAAAAAAGGTCTCGAGCTATATATCATCGGTCCGACTTTGCTGGCCGAGCGCTTCTCTGTTATTGCAATTGATTTCGCGGATCGGACGGACTCGAGAGGCGCCTCCTTCCCTGGCCACTATAGTTGAGAGTTTACTCGTTTCTTTGATGGTACGGTAAAAGGAAAGGAAACAGGGGGTCCTTTTTTTTTACGTCAGTCATCGATCGGGAATCACGCAAGTGGTGAAAGAATATTTTTTTCGTGACAAATCGAGCGACGAAAGTATATATGATGTCCGAGTTTGGTCAAACAAACTTTACCGTTACTTCATCGTTTTATCATCATTCCCCCCCCCCAATCAAAAAAAAAAAAAAAAAAAAAAAATCGGGGAAAACAGAATTTTTCACAGCAGAGCACAGAGAGCAAAGCCCAAACTCCACAGTGTACGCACCAACCTATATATACATATTGTTCCATCATCGGAGGAAAGACAGGAAAAAAAAATAAGCCGTACATGCTGTTATTTATTTATTTTTTTGCTTACAGAGAAATATCAAACAGCCAGCTGGACTTCTTCAGGATGCTCGACGAAAAAATCGAGAACGTAAGTATCTTGCCACTTGAATCGAATGCACAGAAAGCAAACAAGATGAATGTATAGGGGTGGCCGAATAACGGTAACAGTCGAATCGTAAATTTCAACACTTTTATTCCGCGTGTGCAAACAAGCCCCGACCGGTGACTGATTGCCAATACACATATAGAAAGGGTCACCAGAAACGAGGGTATATTATATTATGACGGATGATTTCGGGCGATTATTGACGCGTCGATTGCTGCGGTTTGTCGACTCTCTTTCCCTCAGTATAGAAAGCCGATGTGTGCATACGAGTACAGCACCGCGTATGAGCGCACGCTCCAAATAATCAGAGGGTGGGATGTTTTTTCAAATTTTTTTTTTCCCCTCCAAATTTATAGTTTAAAAGATGTACGCAGAAAAAAAGGTAGACGTGCGCAACGAGTGGGGAATAAAAATGGAGCGTCTCGTGGAGAAGTTTTTTAATACGCGACAAATTGCATAGTCGCGCAAAGTATATCGCGTGAGAGCCAAATAAATTCCGAGATCGCGATGATACGTGTATACATAGTCGTGGTACAATGGACTCTTAAGCGTACGGCATATATATATATCGCATGCACAACGGCTTATCGGCTTTTTCGTCCTCGTATACGTATACGTATATGTATATATTGTACACACTCAACCTACTTACCCGCGTATGCATGTGGCACGACTGACATTTTTCCTCTCTTTACACTCCTCGTTTTTATAACGCAGCCGTCACGCTACGAACGTCGCGTCGTTGTCTCTCTCGTGTGCTGTCGTGTCTCCTGTGTTCGCGCATTACATAACTCTCGTTGGTCCCATAATGGGTACATATATGTATATACATACGTGTATACGTCGTGGTTGCCGTTAAAAAATTATTTCCCTCGCGGTACTTTATAGCCCGATAGGGTGATAGGAGATGTGATAAAAAATACACATTACCCTGTATATGGTTGAATTTTAAAGAATTTCTTTGAGATAAAATTCATAGTTTTGGGGGAGTTTTTTTAAAAGAGGGGAAAAGGGGCGTTGATCGGGACATTTCTTGGTTTCTTGATGGAATGACAAAAGCATATGTATCGACGGATTAAGTATTGAAATTAATTTTTTAAATAAAATACACGTTGTAAGCAGCAGTAAACGGTCATCAAAAATGTTCATTTTTAGTGTTTCAAAGTACCCTGGAAATGACGAGAGAAACGCGGTGCCGTGCAATTTACGCGTAATTATCAGGATTTTTTTTTTTTTCTTTTTAATTCATCAGAACCTTAAGGATGCTGCTTTCTCGACCGTCAATTGAATCATTCAACACCATAAAATATCGGGATTGCCTCTGCCACGACTATGTACACATATACTCTACACTGCCACTACAATTATGTGCAGTTCGAGCTGCTGTTACGTCGTAAAAAAGCACGCGGGCGGAAGTAAAAATTTATAGCCCGGATAGTGAAAAATCCCGAGAGTCGGTCGTCGTCCTTCAATTCGAAGCGACGGAAGTTCCGCTCGTTATTTTTTCATGGGGATATTTCTCTTACGGGATTTCCGAAGACTCGAGGAAAAAAAAAAAAAAAAAAAAAAAAGAAGAGTATACTTGTAGGGCGCAGTTCTCTAGCACACCCCAATTGAAACAGAAGAGGTATAATTAAGGCCCTCGAGGGTGTTCGGAAACCCCCATTTCCGTGTGCTCTTGTGCATTTTCATCAAACTTTTCGAAACAACACACGATATCGCATACTTATATACCCCTGCACCCGTATACCTATGTTCTCACTTTTTTTTGTAATCTATACACAGTACCGCGCACGTCCACGCAAAACGAATCAAACACGTGTAAGTTTGTCCCTATACTTGTATCAACTCTCGGGCATAATTTAATAAAATCCATCAATTGATCTTATGTAGATCGTCTCATTTCAACAATCCTCGATTCAATTATTTTGCTATGCAAAAATAAGCACAAGACCGCATATTATCCATGTCGCATGAAAGCGCCCAATAAGTTGATCAACTTTATAGTTTCAAACGAAACACTCGAGCGTAATATTATCAACAGTTATGCATCATTCCGACGAATCACACGACATCTCGTTATGTATTGTGCACCGAACCCTCATGTACACGAGTAAAAAAAAAAAACATGGGAAAAACGTCATACTGGAAAAGTGTCTGTCCGACGGACACTATGTACACACATAATATCAGCTGCGGCGGCAGAAGTGTCACGATGGACGAGAATAAGGCAGAAAAAGAAGGAAAACAAGGCCGCGCGCGCGCCGGTGAAAAGCTGTTTACGCTGCAGTGAGGCTTCTCGCGAAAACGTCTGTGTCCGCTTGTTTTTTTTTTTTTTTTTTTTTTTTTTTTTTTTTTTTTTTTTTTTTTTTTTTTTTTT